TTCTCGGTGGTGGCTCCTCGGCTGTGGAACACCCTCCCAGTGGACATCAGGCTAGCTCCCTCCCTGTTGATATTCTGCAGGAAGTTAAAGACCTGGCTATTTAAGAAGGCATTTGACCAAGAAGTGCAAGGACTGGTAAATTGACCATAGGAATGGAACAACGGAAATGTTATCGGATTGTGGGTTTGACGATGAGACGACTATGAATGGCTTTGTAGTAATGTTGATGTTTTGATGAGATGTTTTTTGATAATGATGAATTGTGGATTATTTTACACTATGGTTTGTATTTTGCACCTGTTTTTCTATGTTGTACACCACAATGAGTCGCCCTTGGGCTGAGAATTGCGGTATATAAGCGAAGTAAATAAATAAATAAATTTATTATTATTATTATTACACTATTAAATATTCCAAAAGGTTTGGAAAACCAAATTGAGACATCATCCCTATGGCTAGCATCCTGATCAGTACCACCACTATTATATCATTCCCCAATCCCCAAGCTCCTCCCTTTTGGAAGTGGAAAGGGCCAGGGTGCCTGGGCGCGCGCATGCGCAGTCTTGGCTGCGGCGGGCGCACACACACTGTCTCAATCTCTCTCTCTCTCTCTCGCGCGCGCGCGCGCTCCCCGGCCTCTGCTTCCTTCGGAACGTTGGGAGCGTGCCCCCGGCGGCCCGCTCGTGCGCGCGCACGCAGGTACGCACGCACGTCCGTACGTCGCTCAATCTCCTCTCTGCTGTTCTCCTCAGCTCAGCTCTTCTCTTCTCTCAGCTTTCCTGGGTGTCATTCTGAGGAGACAGGTGAGGAGGAGGAGGAGGAGGAAGAGGAGGAAAAAAGGAGGGGTCTCTGAGGCGCTTCTTGGAGGAGAGAGGCCTCGGGAAGAAGGCAGGCAAGCAGGCAGGCAGGCCGGGCTGCGGTGAGGCGGGGGCGGTGCGGAGGAAGAGGAGGAGGAGGAGGCCTGAGGGGAAAACTGGGAGTCTGAGCTGAAATAAGGGGGCGATTCTGAGGAAAGGGGCCTGACTCTGAAGCCATCTTGGGTAAACATGCATGAGGAACTGAGGGGGAAAGAGGCAGGGAGTTGTTGTTATTATTATTATTATTATTATTATTATTATTATTACTATATTTACCTGTACCCCGCTTTATTTCCCCAAAGAGGGTCCAAAATCAGCTTCAATGGGGTCCTGGCAGAGGTGTGGCCTCAGGTGAAGGAAGGTGTGGAGGAAAAGGGTCCTGAGGCAAACCTGAGGGGTCCAAGGAATGGCCCCGAAGTGAAGCATGGGGTGGTTGGTTGTGTGGATCTGGTGCTGAGGTAAAATATGGGAGGGAATAGGACTCCGAAGTGAAACCTGGAATAGGTGTGGCTTCAGGTGAAGGAAGGTATGGAGGAAAAGGGCCATGAGGCAAAACTAAGGAGCCCAGGAAATGGCCATGAAGTGAAGCATGGGGTGGTTGGTTGTGGGGACCTGAGGTGAATATGACCCTGAAGTGAAGCCTGGCAGAGGTGTGGCCTCAGGTGAAGGAAGATGTGGAGGAAAAGGGTGCTGAGGCAAACCTGAGGGGCCCAGGAAATGGCCCTGAAGTGATACCTGGTGTGGTTGGTTGTGGGGACCTGCAGCTGAGGTAAAATACATGGTTGGTTGTGGGGACCTGAGGTTTAATATGGGAGGAAATAGGACTCCAAAGTGAAACCTGGCAGAGGTGTGGCTTCAGGTGAAGGAAGAGTGGGGGAAAAGGGTCCTGAGGCAAACCTGAGGGGTCCAGGAAATGGTCCTGAAGTGATACAAGGGGTGGTTGGTTGTGGGGATCTGGTGCTGAGGTAAAATACATGGGGTGGTTGGTTGTGGGGACCTGGTGCTGAGGTAAAATACATGAGGTGGTTGGTTGTGAAGATCTGGTGCTGAGGTAAAATACATGGGGTGATTGGTTGTGGGGACATGAGGTAAAATATGGGAGGGAATAGGACTCCGAAGTGAAACCTGGCAGAGGTGTGGCCTCAGGTGAAGGAAGGTGTGGAGGAAAATGGTCCTGAGGCAAACCTTAGGGGCCCAGGAAATGGCCCTCTAGTGAAACATGGGGTGGTTGGTTGTGAGGACCTGGTGCTGAGGTAAAATACATGAGGTGGTTGGTTGTGAAGATCTGGTGCTGAGGTAAAATACATGGGGTGATTGGTTGTGGGGACATGAGGTAAAATATGGGAGGGAATAGGACCCCGAAGTGAAGCCTGGCAGAGGTGTGGCCTCAGGTGAAGGAAGATGTGGAGGAAAAGGGCCCTGAGCCAAACCTGAGGGGTCCAGGAAATGGCCCTCAAGTGAAGCATGGGGTGGTTGGTTGTGGGGACT